ATCATGCCTAGCCATTAATAAATTAAATAAATAGCATTTTTGGCTTCCTGGTAGAGAATCTGATATTTCCTGGCTTCCCACATCTGTTGCTAGAGCCAAGTTTTAGTTCTTTGAAAAGTTACTGCCTGGCTTGTCTTCAAGGAACACTTCTTGTGTCCCATCTTAAATGCTGAGAACTAACCATGTACACCATGTTCTTACATTAATATACATAGGGCTGGTTTATACAGATTGTTTTTTGACTTGCAAAAGTAAATGGGAGGTAAAATAGATTTTGTTAGCAGGGATTCTCACAGTCAGCTGAATAGCTGATCCTAAAGGAGAGCTCTCATGTCTATGAATTTTGCAGGATGGAAGCTGGAATAAAGTGATGCACACGGTCAAATGTATCGCTGTATGTACCGTGCCACAGAACTGTACCCGATTTAATGTGGTTTATGATGTCTGCCTTTGCTGATAGTCACAGAGAAACCATTTTCTAAGGCAAACTGTTCAGCTGTTCATTAAACTCAGTTTTCAAAAAGTAAAGCATCTCTGAATTTGATTGCCACCTTCCCAGCCTTGGCTCTTATGATGCTTTTTATGGGCATAGGGCAGGTTAATAGTACTAAATCTTCTTCCACATGTATTTACAGGGTGAATCCATCCTGTGACTAAGCAGGTAGGCCTTCAAGTTCCCTCGTAAGAAAGGTTTTGCAGGTTTTGGGGATTTCCTTATACCGTTGGCTGTGGCTTTTTTTCTGAACCTTTCCCAGGCAGGCCTGGTGAAGAGGAGGTGATTGTGTCATACCAGTATCAGAGTTGGATGCTTCCAGGAATGCTGATAATGCAGAGTGTTTTGTAGGTGTTGCATGTTAAAACAAACAAATGGGGCTCACACCTGCTGATTGCCTGGGCAGCTAACATAAAAAATCACTGCAATCTTCCAGTTACATCCCTCTCTATTTCTGTCCACCTGCAACCCTGAAATAGTCTGATCTACGAACAGGAATTCCTAGTAAGAAACTACATCTTGAGATGAGAAACTGGGCATGCCTTTGAAAACCAGAGGAAACAGTGAAGCAGTCACTCAGCACAGATGAGAGCTACTGTTACCCTGTGACCTGTCTTTTAGACCGTAGCACTGACAATGTGCACTGGGGAACATCTCCAGAAATGATGCATGTGAATTCTGAGGTCAAATCCAATACTCCAATTCCCAGAGAAGTGCCCTAACCACGAAACTATAGGCTATTTTGGGGGTTATGCTACTGCCTGTCCTGCTCCGGAGCTGGATTGCTTTCAAGAATGCGTGAGTTATAGGGCCAGAAGGTCGGTATGCAAGAGGGAGCCTGCCTTGGTAGATATTTTATGTTACACAGTAACTGGATACAAAGAAGAAATAAAGCTAAGGGCAGACACAGTGATCCTGGGTCTTCCCCTCCCAGCTGAGTGCCCCGACCTCACCAGGTTGCAGAGCTGGATATTGCCTGCTTGGCCAAGGAGTTTTTACTGTCCTTTAGGTACCTGATATCCCAGTTCCAGCATGATGGGTTTGATGAGTTTATGAACTCATACTTGATGCTGACTTTGTTATCTCAAAGAGATAAAAGCTTAGCATGTGAAATGTAATTGCAGCTGGGCCTTGTTTGGCATCTAGTTAAGTTTCCCAGTCATGCACTGGAAAAAAAGTGGTGGCGAGACATGGCAGCAGCTGGAAACAGTGCTTGAAGAAGCTGGAAACTTTCACATGGGAGCTCCCACCGCCTCTGCCATTGTGAGTCCCCCATGCAGCAGGAATGGTGGTCCCAGGCTGGAATTTGTGCAAGTTTTAGAGTCATTGGTCTCTTGAGACAGTTCTTTCTTACTTGGTCTCAGCCACATGCTGTTCAATTCTGTGACATCTAAGCAGGTCAGAACTGCCCTGTTCTTGCCAGAAGCCAGATTCTTCACCAGTACATTTCTCATCTCACTCTGTCTTCAGACAGGCAACATTCCCCATGTTGCTTTGCATTCAGACTGAGTTTACCAAAATGCTCTGTTTCTCTAAGAATACTTAGGTTACTCTTCTCTTTGCATGTGAGCACTGAAAATATATGTAGTCCTTAGCATGTTGTTGGCACCAGGTGACCTTGTTTGCACCCTTACTTGCTTGAATAGGGGATCTGTGTGCCAGGGCTTAGAAAGGGGTGATTTGCAGGCTAGTAAGGGGCAACCCTGTGATTAGAAATTCCATGATCTGACAGAATGCACGTTTGACCTGCTAGTGTAAAACAGATTATTAACCTGTTATGTAAATATTTTAAAGTCCAGATTTGATAAGGATCAATGACAGAAATAGGTGGTGCGTTGCTACCTGCCTGTAAAAGTATTTGCTAATGTGTACTGCAGCATTTGGTTTATAACATTACAATAGTGGCTTTGATTAACAATGCTTTATTAGTTATAAACATAGACTTACTGAATAAATCCTACTTACTTTGTTGAATGGCTCTTCATGCCTACATAAAACTATTTCAGTAATTAGAAAGCTACTGTAATATTTCTCTGTATTGTAGACTTAGAGCTGTTTGTTAGCTCTCTGTCAGCTTTCCTGAATTCCTACATAGGATTTTGTACTTGATCCCATCCTTGACACGAAAGGGAAATGGTTTCAACTTGCATTTTGAGATGAGAAAGGGCAGATGTGATAAGACAGGGTTTCCTAAAGAAAAGGGGAATGGTTGGGGAAAAGACTCTGTGTCTCCTTCTGATGTGCTTCTGGACCTGAACCGTCCTCTTCCCAGCCAAGATCAGAGAAGACTGGAGCAGCCATATCCCTGCTGAAAAGGACCAAATTCCCTCCTGAAGGAGTTATCACAATTGCTTTGTGGGCTTGTGTTTCAAGAGAAGAATAGAAGAGTATGTGTGAGGGATGTTGGCATAAGGCATCTTGTGGACAGTTCACCTCTGTCTTTCTCTAAAAGGTGCAGGCTTGTAACTCCTGAGTTTTTTCCTCCCCTTTCTATATAAAACACAGAGCGCTGGGGTTCAGTTGTTTTATCTACTACTGAAATGCAGCCATCAGTGCAGAATAACATGAGAACAGTTTGAAAGGAAGCGTGGAACACTATATTCAACTGAAACTAATTACCTGATTAGGTTTTGGCCTGGCTGTGTGGGTTGACATCCAGTGGTCTTGGCGACAATACCTGTGAGCAAAGCCAAGTCTAGTCTTGCTTCATTTAAAGACTCTGGACAAAACTTCTGGACTTGTGTGCTGAATGCTGAGCAGTGTGAAAATAGGACACTGACTTAAAGTACCCATGGCTACAGAGGGTGTCAGTGGGCAGATGAATGACCTTATTTGGGATTTAGAAATACTGGCTTCCATTTAAAGCTGTTTCTGTTGAAATGTAACTGTGCATCACAACACCCTCCTTTCAGGGCTGTAGGATTAGCACTTTCCTTCAGCACTTCAAGTTTCTACCCTTAGAAATTTAGTCAGAGTTTGACACTGAGATCTTGTGAACTTGAGACAATCACCTAAATGGATGTTATCTCACCTTGTCTGCCAAGTAGTTCCTTCTCTTTATCTCCACAGGGGTTAAATACTTTTGGTCTGCTTTTTTAGGTGAGAATGATTTGTTATTGCTGTTGTCCTTTTTGGGAAATAGCATGTTTTCATGTTAGGAGTATTTATGCAGCATTTCAAGTGTCGATAATGTTAGACGTGTCTGTATTTATCATTGTGATGGTATTTTTTTGTCTTGGCATCTCTTTAAAGGGAAAAAAAAAATCATTACTTGGTAGGATTTGAAGCTTTACTGGGAAGAGAGGGTGAGTCTGTCATCTGTGTGCTATTATACAAATACAGTCCGTTAAAAACAAAGGTGAACAGAGCACTTTTAAAAAGACCTGAAGTGTTCTTGCCTTCAGATGGTAAGTTTCTGGGCTGCACCCACTTCCGGCACCCTAGCACCCCTCTGTTTTCGTTCCCAGGGAGAATGGTGTGAAATGAGCTGTCGAATGAGTTGTGGCAGTTCACTGGTGAGCATTGACTTCATGAGGAAATTTAGTACGTTTACTCTGATATCCTAGGAGTGCATCGAGACACGTTACTAAAATGAATTGGACAAATAGTTGATGGAAATCCAAGAGCTTGGTAAGAGATGCTCCACAGAACAAGAAATCCTAATAGACAACCATAGGAAAACATATTTTTGCCAACTGGCTGACTATTTTAGCTTAGCAACTGGCTTGTGCTTTACCCTATTCCTTAACATCTAAAATAAATATTGAATTCTCTCCTGTTTACAAACCTTCTTAAACCATATGCCTAAGGGGCGTTGCAGTAATGAAGTCCTCAAAGTTGTGCTTAAGCATTTCCTCTTACTGCAAGAATAAATCCATCAAGTTTTCAGCCTCCCACAAAGACAACAAACGCAATCCTGTAAGTGCCATGAAAGCCCTAAGAAACTTCAGAAACAATTTAAAACAATAAAAACAGGCTTTTGGACACCTCTCGTTACTTCTGTGTAGAACGAGCTGGGCAGGGACTCGGGCTGAACAGGGAGATGGGAATTCACCTTGTGTAACCTGGTATTCCCTTCCCCTTTCCCCCGCTGTCCTCAAATCAGCTGTCACAGTATTGGCAGGAGTCTCCTGAGCCTTCGCTAGCCAGGAGTTTGCCCAGCTGTTTGGCCTAGGATTTCAGAGAGTAGGAGGGAACCTTTCTGGCTGAAGCCTCTGTAAAATCACTGCTTCAGTGATCAAAGCAGCAGTGTCCCCATGGGGGAAAAGCAAGTAGTTGGAAAGCTTGGGGGGGGGGGGGGGGGAGCGGTGTGACTTTCCACAGGGCCTGGCATCTTCATGATAAATAATCACGCTAGAATAGCGCTAATCTCCCAGGAAAAGTGGTGGGATTACAAAGGCGGTAAAATCTCCGCTTCTCCTGCGAGTGTGCGCAAAGTTCAACTCCGTTGCAGCTCTGTGGTTTGAAAACGCGTCTCCCCTAACAGCTACTTGTGTTACTGTTGCAGGATGATTTGGAAATTCGCCTTATCCGTTTTTCTGGTGGCAGCACTGGTTCGAGTAACAGACACCAGGAAAAACCGTCCTGCGGGCGCCATTCCCTCCCCTTACAAAGACAGCAGCAGCAACCACTCCGAGCGGAGGCAGCAGCTGAACAAGGAGGTGTTGGCCTCCAGCCAGGAGGCCCTGGTGGTCACCGAAAGGAAGTACCTCAAGAGCGACTGGTGCAAGACGCAGCCCCTGCGGCAGACTGTCAGTGAGGAGGGCTGCATAAGCCGCACCATCATCAACCGCTTTTGCTATGGGCAGTGCAACTCCTTCTACATACCCCGGCACGTGAAAAAGGAGGAGGAGTCCTTCCAGTCCTGTGCTTTCTGCAAGCCACACAAGGTCACCTCTTCGACTGTGCAGCTGGAGTGCCCGGAGCTGGACCCACCTTTTCGACTCAAGAAAATTCAGAAGGTCAAGCAGTGCCGGTGCATGTCTGTGAATCTTAACAACTCGGGCAAACTGTGAGAGCGGGCGTGTAGCTACTGCTTGCTCTTGCCCCGATCAGATTTACTGCTGCCTCTCACCTTCCACGGAGCAGACTGTCCCTTTTGTTGGTTTATTTCTTCTTTTCCTTTTTTTCTTTTTTTTTGTGTTTTGTTTTCCTTCAGGAGGCATCTCTCCAGCAAGGAAAGGCTCCTTGTTGCTTGCCTACTGGAATAGCGCTTTTTAATGGGCTCTGTTAGGCACTTCACCATCAAGTTTCATTGTATTTCCAATATCATCTGGCAGTTGGACCTTCTGGAGTGGAGCAGGCTCCCAGAAGCTGGGATTGATCATCTAAAAGTGACCAGTTGGCTGAATCTGGCATCACATGTTTCCACTGTGTGGAGTAAAGCCCTCTGCCCTACACTCCAGTCCCCTCCAAAAGATAAGAACACCTTTCCCACGCTTTGGTCTGGAGCTTGCTGCTCCCACTTGAAATACTGGGATTCTGCCCAGGACTGGGGGATGCAGATGGGGGAGAGTTAACGTGCGAAAAGCAAGCGAGACTCTTCGATGAGGCTCATCTCGTTAAGACAACTTTAAATGTGCAATGACAGACGTTTCCGGCTTGTTGTCTGAATAGCAGATGATAAGAAGCAAGGGGAAGAGGGTGAGGAGCTGGGTCAGCCACTGCAACCACAGAGCAGACTGAGGGTGGGTTCTGATGCTGTTGTGGTTAGAGTATATTGAACACATGGTCTCTGCAGCAGTGTTTATTTTGTAACCTAGCTATGGGTAAACAGCTGTTTAAAGTATTACAGACCTAGCCATGTATATTTTGCTTGTGGCAGAATATGCCAGAAATTAAAATATGTTGACAAAGAGACTCGGATGCTAGGTCAGCTGCCTAGCTTAAAATGGGCATAGTTTAACTAGGCTTTCAGTAGGGTTTTGTGTGCTAGATATAGGTGTGTCCCTTACTCCAAAAAGGACATCCATTTATGACCTTTATTTATGCCTGCGTAGACCGAGGAAGGTGGGAGGGTAGTGGGAGAGGAGCTGAGAACACTTAAAGGAACGTTGTTTCCCTTAAGGTGTAAAAGCACTGTCGCACGAAGGACAAAACTTGGTCATTGCTGGACTGAATACAAAAGCTACATCAGTGTCATCAGGTTTTGGGAGTGGTGTCTCTCCCATGATTGGAAATAATGTGCTAGTGTTAAAGGACAAATCCATCAGTCAGTGGTGCTGGAATGGGTCACAGCTGTAGGAGCAGGGAGAGAGCAAGTTGTAATTGCAACAGTACTGGTGGTCCACTCAGTTTTTCAGTCCTACACAATCAGTGTTGGTGAATGCTTGAAGTTCATTTTAAATCATGCCATGTTGTTATTCAGTTGATGGAGTTTAGCATGTCCCGTTTATCCCATTTGTTACAGATATGATCTGTATTAGTCCCAGCTGCATTAAAATCCTGTGCCTGAAAACAAACCAGCTCCTTCTCCCAAACCAAAGCCTGTGCGTGCTCAATTGTCTGAAGCTTACAAATTAAAAATGACATGCTGACTCCCTGATGCATGTCTCACAGCTCAGCATCTGCAGCTAGTGAAACCAGCTTGCTGTGGGAGCTCTTTCTCTCCAGCCTCTTCACATGTAGCCGCTTGAAGGGGTTAATGTGTTTAGCACTGTCACCAGCTAAGGGCTCAGCGCCACAGGTCTCTATTATGTGAGACAAGCTGCTCTAAGAGGCTTTCAGGACTGAGCTCCACCAGAGCTTACCAAGCGGTTTATGGGGATTGGCATGGGCAGGATGAGGTTGAGCAGATCTGTTAGCCCTATTACATGAACAGCCGTAGCTTTTCTGCTGTGATCTTTCAGCGTGTCAGAAGTGCACAGGGAGACTCCTCATGCAGGGATTGCCTTAGAGGCTGCTGCTGTTGCACTGCCAGTGTTGTACCAGCCACCAAATGGGCACCATTCTGTTTAGGCTTAAGTGTTAAGGGTGGGGGGAAGGCGGCAATAGCTGAAGTCTACTAAGACTCCAGGGATCTCAGTCTCCACTTGAAATAAATAAATTGAAATTAAAAGTCAGACATTTTGGACTCTAGAGAGAAACGCACCCTAGTAACTTCAGTTAAGAAAAATGTGCAAGAACCTTTACCTTTAAGCTATGCCCTGCCTGGGGTTTTCACCAGTTTGCAATATGAATATGCTGCAGCTTAAAGCTCCTTCTAGGAGCTGTGTTTGTTTATGTAAAAACTGAGTTGAGCTTGTAATGGTTAAAACTGTATTTAATTCTTGTTTTATAAGTAAGTAAGTGAAAACAAAAAAAAAATGAAGAAATGCTTTAAGTATAATGTAATTATTTTATAGGTCTACTATTAAATTATAGATTAATAAAGCTACTTTAGGGTTATATGGCATCCAGGTGTATGGGCTTTGCTTCAACACCTTGTGTCCAACTGGTCTCTAAGCAGTATCTACACCAACTTCCTTTTGACCCTACCAGAAACAGGTAAATGATGTCTCAGCCTGACAGCTTGGGAGTACCCAGCTAGTTCTTTTCTTATCCCCCACTCCCCTCAAAAGTACCTGCAAGGCAAGAGGGAAAACTAAACTGCGCTAATCTTGATTCTGGAGTTAATTCTGCATGCACAAATTCTGGTTTTTGGTTAACTGACAAGAAGACGACCAAAGCTCCATCACTGGCTGAGTTGCTGGCATGATTCCTGATAAGAGAAGCAACTATTACCCTGACCAAAGTGGGTTTGCTTAAAATATAACAAGATCCTTATGTAACAGGCATCAAACTACTCGTGGGGTGGGGGGGAGTAAATCTGAAGATACAGGTGAGCTTTAATGGTTGCTCTCATCTCTTGGATGAGTGCAGTGTGCGCCTCACCAAAGGTAGGGCAGTAGTGTTTGGGGTTTTTTTTCCTTTGTTTTTCTTTCCAACCCAGGGAAAGATAGTTGCAAAATAACCTTGAAGGCAGATTTCACTGGGGAGAGGTAGTTTGTTCACACAGCAGAATGAGCCTCCATATGGGTCTTGAAAGAAGCAGGAGGGCCTAGACCACAACTAGCATGGGAGGGTTTTATCCTTTATGTCGCTGTAACTGTTGCCTACAGAAGCCTTTTGCTCTCTTCCCCAAGTCTGCTCACAGTTCAGCAATTTAATGAGTTTGGCAACTTGTTTTTTTTTTTTTTTTGTTGGTCTGTTTGTTTTGGGGGTTTTATTTCTGTGTTTGGCTTTGTTTTTTTTTTTTTTTTTTGTTTTTTTTGTTTTTTGTTTTTTTTTGTGGCTGTTGGTTTTGAGAATTACTGGATCAGGTGTTCAGAACTTGAAAGTGCCCATGCCAGTCAGCTCAAAAGGAGCTCAAGCAACACCTCTAAGTCCCTCTCCTGCTTCGCAGGTAGCTTCATTGCCAAGAACCCATCCAAACCTCTTCTGTGACACAGCATAGGCTCCAGCTCCAGCTCTCCCAGCCTCATGCTGTGTGCCTGCTGAACCACCATACCAGAGGCATAGACTATAATCAAAAAATCTCCCCCTTGTGGAAGCAATCTAAGAGCAAGTGTCAGGGTAGATGAGAAAAACTTTACGTCAGAATGATCCAGTATTTCTTAAAGCAGAGTGGTGCTGTGGGACAACGGAAGGAGGGGGACAGTAAATGTTAAGCTCTATTACCGTGGAACTGCCATGTTGGCACTGCCCCAATTTGGGGTGAGAAATGAAGTTTATAAGAGATTATTTAAGCTGTAGCTGGGAATAAATGAGAAAACAGCGCTGACTAAACAGGGACCCTTGACCTTCAGACAGATCCCATCTTTCTGAGGCAGTGGGCAGCGGATGCCTTCACAGGTAGGTTGGACAAAACTCAGGTACAGGTGGTTCTGTCATAAGCAAGCAAGTGGCTTGGAAAACCTGTTCTGTTATGTGAATCCCACTTGACTGATGTGTGGCAGACCTGAATGGTGTGAGGCATTTTCTTTCTCCTATCTGTTCACACTATCTTCAGAAAAACCCAGCTCCACCAGTTTTCACTTGTTCTTCGCATAGCAGTTTGAAATAGCGTATCTTAAGTAACTTAGTACAAACTTGGCTTTTGTTATTAACCTGGACTATGCAACAAAATAATTGTAATACAGAGACTTGCTATAGCTTCTCTTAATGAAATTAGTAACTACTTCCAACTTTTTAAGTTGATCACTTAAAAACTGCGCAAGAAAAAATCTCTCTGTCTACGGAAGTTGTCACTAATTGTATTCTCACTGCCACTGTTGGTTAATACTTCCAAGTTTTGGAAATGCTCTGGGATGATGAAAGGTGCTACAAACGCAGTTAACCCCTACTGTCTCATGACACATGACAAAGTACGATGCTTATGAAAGGCTTTAATTTGGAAGCAAAACAACATGAATCTTCTCAGCTCCTCATAAAAACCCCAGACTGTTATTTTCCATAAGTAATATCTGCTGTTCAGGTATGAAAGTACTTATTTAGCTGCTGCATCTGTTTAAGTAATGATGAGTGATACGTGGTGTTGGTGATGAAAAGGTTCAGAATTTTGTCTGTGAGAACTGCTGTAGGGCTACAGCCAACTCAAAAGTGTAGTATGCCTGATGTTGCAGTAAATGGGGAGAGGGTAGCAATGGGGTGTTCAACCTCTTTAAAACACACCCAAATCAAACAAAAGAACATTAGTCTCGAATTCTGTAAAAAGATGAGTGTGCCACTGGAAAAAAGAGTAGTGGTGAATCTTTTATGCTGGGAATCCACTCTGGGAGAGCCATAGGTCAACGTTAGTGCTGTGACTTTACTCTGTATGGAAGTTTGATAACAGGCTGGAGAAAAGCTACAAGAGAGCAAAAGAGACATTCAATCAAATAGCTTGAGTCTTAATAAGATGAAAGAGGAAACGTGTATAGCAGCTTGTATCTTCAGATTGTAACACAGTACCACCAGCTGCAGTCAGCCTTTGACACTGTTCTTCAGGAAGAGGGGTTTGCAAATAGCATTTAGCATCAATGCTGCAGTGAAAAGGGCAGTATGTCTGTATGTGACAGTCCTGCCAGGTTGCTGGACAACACTTTAATGATCTGTGTATGTATATATGTATATAAAGACATTATAATATGCAGATAATACTTTTTTTAGTGCATGTTTCTGCCTTAGTATCAATTCCTTGAGACTGCTACGTTAGGCAGTGTTAGTAGGGACAAGTTACAAGCCTGAGCCAAAAGCACTACTGGAAGGAATGCACAAGCCAGAGGAGCAAGTGAAAGATTGGGTGAATTACTCTGAAACTCCTCGCTACCACCACCTGGGGAAAAGGTAATATATCAACATAACTGGAAATTACTGTCACTATGCTTTCAGAAGGCAAGGAAAGAGAAGCCCTGTTTCCACCACTGCCTTCACAGAAGTTTTTCCTTAATCACAGGAATTTGAATGGGATGCAGTGCTTAGGGAGCAAATGGTTGCTAGGAAACCCTGATAGTAACGAGAGAAGGCAGTTATTTCAGTATTATTCCTTTTATTTTCTTATAAATTAACATTCTAAAAAAATTGAAATAGAAACACTAAATACAGTATTGCACATAGCGATCTTTGTTAGATGATCTATTACTTCATTTAGTATCGTAATATACATACTGCAGGTACTGAAGGAAACCGGAAGGCTACAAATGAAAACATGCTACTGTATTCTTGCACTTAGGAGCAAAGTTAAGAGGAAAAGACTATTGTTTACATAAATACAAACATGGATTTGAATCAGTGCCATTAAAATAGCTTTATTTTTTAAAGTTTTTTCCATACGTTACTTGTAACAGCAAATAATCTCTTCACTTCCCCAAACAGTAATGTTACTCCCATCAACACAAAATTTTAGAACTCCATTCTTGGTAATATATATCCCTGCTAGAAATTATTACAAGTACAGATTTTCACATAGTTTTATCAGCAACAGGAGACTTGCTTTTCACATAGTGAAAAAAAACATCTTTTCTAGTGCTTGGTATATGTGAAGAATAACAGATTCCTGAGGTCATATTTCACACTTCCTTTTGCGACACCCTGTAGGGTATATTAGCCCCTGGAAAGCTAGGAATGACTCTTGATGAGCTAGAATTAAACAGGGAATAATGCAGCCAAGCAGATTAGAGCTCATTTGCCTTACCCTAGTGTCTTTCAGGCTCCAAGGTTGTGAGCACGTGTCCAATTCAGTTGCATGCACACACCCCCCCCCTTTCAGGAAAAGTGCGCTTTGAAAGAAAAATACTGTCAATCGGGCAGATTGGTTTGGGGCTCTTAAATTAGGATTGGAGGAAAGGATTGTTACCAGTTGAGCAGGTCAAAAGTGATACAGTAAATTCAGGATTGCAAGTAGGAATTAAGCATGTGGTCTAAAATGGAAGCCCTAAGTCATAGATTTCAATCATTAACCTCCTAGTCAGGGACACTGAAAGCCTGGAGGAAAAGTCTGCAATTCTGTTAAGTGTGAAACTGATGTCAGTTAGTTGGTAGTTTATGTTCTGTCACTAGAATCAGCTACTTTTACATAAATGTCAGTCCCCATGTGCATCTTTTAATGGCTCTCTAAAGGAGTTTTAAATTACTGTAAAGCTAATTTCAAAAGGGAAGTCATGTACATGTGGCCAAAAGCTTGTCTGACTTAAGTGATCAGCAGTTAAAACTATACTATACCTTCTAAAGTTCATGTAAAAGTATTAGCTGCTTTATTTATTAACAAACTGTAACAGACAATTCTCTCTCATACTCTCTATCATACTTCTGTGCTTTTCTGTGTTTTCCTGCTTTTCACTCACTCTTTTTCTTTTTTTTCCTAAATGCTGGATGTCTGACCCCCATACCACCTGGCATTCACTATCTGGCAAAAGATGAAATAAAAGTATGCTGTCTTATCGATTTTAAAGATAGTTACAGTAAACAACTTGTTCCACAAATATTTAGTCATGGAGGGCAACCAAACAAGTTGGGAAAGCATTGATTATACTGTATAAACAGCACTTAACGATTCAAAATACAAACTACAAATGCCAACATGAAACGGATACAAACAATTCACTAGGAATAACATTTCTTTTCCTAATCTAAGTGCAGTGCCATGAAGTATTTGTGTTAGACAGATGTTGCCATTAGGAATGGAAATGTTTTACTGTTATCATGTAGCATTCTTATGAAGTTCAACGTAATGCTTCAGCATGTTCAGAATTGATGCAGATGTCACTTTTTATGCATGCTGACTTGGCCTATTTGTAATATACCATACACTTTACAAAAATATCATTTTTGAGTGGCAAAAGAGATACAGAGTACAGGGAAGGTGTTTCAAGTCCATACCTATTGCTGGGCACTCCATTAAAGTGATTACATTCATGAATGAATGTACAATAACAC